CTCTAAATTAGGGGTCCTTTTTTGGGGGGGGGGAGGGGGGTCCTTTTTATAAGGGTTACTATTTTGGGGACCTAGAAAGGGACCCTAATTTAGGGAACTGCCTATATAGTGCTTTGGTGCAGTGGGAATTTGCTTCGAGGTAACGATGATACTAAAATAGGTGATAGCCCAGTTGGCGTTACATTGTTTGGGTAACCCTAAACCTTAAAAACCCTAAAGCCCTAAGCCTTAAGCCCAAGCCCTTACTTTTAGTCCACCCTATACTTGCCTGAGCCTTCCGGCAGGGCTGATTCGTCTTGGTTCATGGTTAAGTCTATACCTGGACCTCAAATAACCTGCCTTTTTAGGGCTCCTTGTTATGAGTCTTTTTATAAGGGCAGCTAAGTCTGCACACTGACCTCGCAAACGTACTTTGGATTTCTCGAGCCATCACGTGGTGCCTTAACCCTATAAATCCTAAACCCTAAACCCCATTGCCCGTGTGTGCGGATTTCGGGGTTGGAGACCCTCAGCCCGATGCGGAGCTTCTGTGGCCAGGATCCGCGTGCAGCATGGGCCTCAGCGACCGAGGCACTACCCTGAACCCTCGCTTTCAGGAGGAAGAGATCTGGGGGTCGAAGTGTAGAGCTGGTGCAGAGGCCGACTTGGTTTAGGGTTTAAGTTCAGGGTTTCGGCTTTTCGGGTTTAGGGTTTAGCGTTTAGGGTTTAGGGTTTAGGGTTTTGGCATTTGGCCTTACCAGAAGACCAAGACCTAAAGCAACACCCCTGCTGCCGTTGTAACTAATATGTGTGGCCCTAAACCCTAAACCCTAACCCCGAAACCCTAAACCCTAAACCCCTGAACCCTAAACCCCGAACCCTAAACCCTAATGGTGAAAGCCGCAGCCAAAGGCCGAATGAATCGGCAAGTGCCTTTTCGGATTGAGGATGTCCCAAACTGTAGTCCTGTAGGGGCTCAGGGGTTTCGGGTTTAGGGTTTAGGGTTTAGGGTTGGTAGTCAGGTAACCCTGAACCCTAAAACCCTAAAGCCCTAAACCCTGAACGCCAAACTCTTTCGAGCTTGGAGTACGCCCTATCAACCTTAAACCTGTGGCCAAGGCCAAAGAAGCGTGCCAGCTGGTCTTACAGCAGATGCCGGAGAACACGAAGGCCAGGTGCTTCAAAGCACCGTTATTGTTTATTGAGAAAGGGTTTAGGGTTGGGGGTATATAGGTAGTCCTCTAAATTACTACGGCACCCTTAACTTACAGAAAAGACCCTCAAAAGGGATCCTAATTTCGAGAACTACCCATGTGTATACTATAATTAGGCCCGAAAGTCTAAACCCTAAACCGTTTTTGCTTTCAAGCTCCATTTCTGAAAGCCTAAGCGCTAATCCCGAATTTTACCCCAGGCCGCAGCCCTAAACCCGAAGTTTGAAGGTTCCTGGTGCCTAAATCCTAAACCCTACACCCTAAACCCTACACCCTAAACCCTAAACCCTATAAACCCCAACCACTCCACCCTAAACCCTATAAGCCCAACACCCTAAACCCTATAAGCCCCAAGCCCTAAGCCCATGCGCTTCGGCTTCCGTCTTTACACTCTTGGCGCTGGGAGTCTCAAGTTGCTTCCCAGAATTGCGGGGAGCACCTGGTTTAGGGTTTAGGATTTAAGGTGTTTAATTAATTAATTAATATTAGTATTAATATAGGGTTTAGGGTTTAGGGTTTAGGGTGTAGGGTTTAGGGCTTAGGGTGCAGGGTGTAGGGTGTAGGGTTGAGGGATTAGGGTGTAGGGTTTAGGGTTCGGGGAGGATCTAGGGAGTAGAAAGTAGGGCTGACCCATGGGCCCCATAGTCGTTCCTTTTTTGGGATTTCCGAATAGGATTCTAAATATAAGCCACAAAAAGGAACTACTATGGGGCCTATGGGTAGGGTTTAGGGTTTGGTTTAGGGTTCGGGGTTTAGGGTTTAGTTCAGGGCTTTTTGGTCTAGGGGGCCACTATACTACGAAACGGTACTTTACAGGAACCCTCTTAAAATCTCTTGTGTCTAGATTCTCCCGTCGGTCTAGCTTAGCATGGCGCAATTTGACTGTACAATCTCCCTTTAAGGGTTTAGGGTGTAGGGTCTATGTTCCGTGTACCGTAGCCCTGATAGAACCTACTCTAAACCCTAAACATAGAACCCTTTACGGAACCCTTTAAAGAAACCCCAAGCCCCTACGGACCTTTATGCTACAAGCACTCCGCCCAAGAAACTTCATAGGTACTGTGTGGCTCTGGCTGTTACGGCATACGCACCATCACAGCTTTCAGCAAAACCTAAACCCTAAGCCCTAAAACAGAGCCTGAAGCCCTTCAAGCATGCGGCTCCAAGCCCTGAAAGGAGCCCTGATAAATTTGTTGGGTTTAGGGCTTAGGGTTTAGGGTTTAGGGTTTAGGGTTTAGGGGTCTAGGCCTTCGAAATTAATCCGAAATCAGCCGCCAAACAATCGCATTCCTCACCGGACCCCAAACCCTAAACCCTAAACCCTCGTTATACAACCCTCATAAAAATCCCTTGAGAGAACCCCTACCTTAAAAAGGAGCCCAACCCCCGTCCGCGCCCCTCTCAAAAAGGAAGAAAGCCAGTTGCCCTAAGCCCTAAAATCTCAACTTTCAACCCCTGGACCCCTAAACCCAAAAACCCAAACCTTCAACCCCAAACCCTAAACCATTAGACCCCTAAACCCGTAGAGCCCTGCAGCCTAGACCCCTAAACTTCCTGGACCCTAAACCCCAAACCCTAAACCCGAAACCCTTAGACCCCTAGACGCTAAACTGCCTAGACCCTAAACCCCAAACCCTAGAACCCTAAACTTCCTAACCCCAAACCCTAAGCCCTGGACCCTAAACCCTAAGCCCCAAACCCAAAACCCTAAGCCCCAAACCCTAAACCCCAAACCCCAAACTCCCAAACCCTAAACCTCAAACTCTAAACCCCTAAACCCCTAAACCCCAAACCCTAAAACCCCAAAACCCCCAACCCCAAAACCCCAAATCCTAAATCCTAGACCTTAAATCCTAAATCCCTTACTTTCCACCCCAAAATTTGCCACTCTAAACCCTAAACCCCTAGACCCCTAAACCCAAAACCCTTATAGTAGCCCTTAACTTATAGAACCCTTTAAGGAGCCCATTAAAGGACCCCAAAACCCCCAAAACCCTGTGGATTTCGGATCCCGGAGGCTTTCTACAGGCTTGCCCAAGCCCACCTCCAGGAGCGGGACTTCGACCAGGCACTGGCCTGCTGTAAGGGCTTAATAGGGTTTAGGGTTTAGGGGTTTAGGGTTTAGGGCTTAGGACTTAGAGAGTTTAGGGTTTTAGGGTTTATAGGGCTTAGGGCTTATAGGGTTTAGGGCGTAGGGCTTTGGGCTTATGGCTTAGAGGGTTTAGTGTTTAGGGTTTGGGCTCTTTTAAGGGATACTCTAGAGTGTTTGGGATCTAGAGGTGAGGGTTTTGCACGGTAGGGTTTTTATGGTTTTGGGTTACGGCGGGTTTCAGTCTAGAGTTTTCGTCGTGGTGATCGACCCCGGGTGTTTCTGGATTATTCTAGTCTTTGTTTCAGGAAGCCTTGGTATTATTGTTGCTTGTTGTATTGGTACAGTAGCATTGTTGTTGTCGCTGTTTAAATCAAATGTTCGTGGTTATGAGTATTGCCATTATTATAGATATTGCGATAGATCAAACTTCCTATGGGTCCGACAGTTCTTTTCCTTACAGGGCTGAACCCTGGACTTACCCTAAACCCTGAACTTTCCTTTTGATCGGTTTGGTGCTTGGTGTTTCAGAGAGTATAAATAAAGTGTAGGAAGGGTGGGGGTGTTGAATTGTACCTCCAACCGTAGAACCCCAAACCCTAATCCCCTAAACCCTAAACCCTAAACCCCTAAACCCTAAACCCTAAACCCTAATCCCTCAACCCTAATCCCTCAACCCTAAACCCTAAAAATGACTGGAATTCCTAGGTTTGTTCGGCCGAGGACTCGAAGTACAAAGAATTTCATCGACAGAATGCGTGCCCGGCCCTAAACCCTAAACCTTTAACCTTAATCTCTAAACCCGAAGCCCAAACCGGAAACCCTAAACCGTATCAACTGGCAATTTAGGCAAGCTCGGAAGTTGACTTCGCAAACTTGGATGCAAAAGAGACGCCGCCATACGTCGCCATGGTACCGTCCCAACTCTGCCGCTTGCGCAGACATGCTCGCCAGTATCACCGGCATGCGCACAAGTCGGTGGTGTTGCTTGGCTTCGTTGGAGTGTCGCTGACGTTCGAGCATTGACCGTTTTGCAATTGCTGGCCTTCAGAATTTACTGCATGCTGTACTGCTTGTTAAAAGACTAGTACTAGCACTAGACTTGTACTAGTAGCAGTAGTAGTGGTAGTAGTCGTAGTAGTAGCAGTAGTGGCAGTAG